TAGATGTTAGCCGTTAAGCTATTTGTTAATTGATAATTACAGCTTGAAGATAAGTAGTAATTAATTTTGTTCATGATACTTAAGTCAATATTTAGCATAAATCATGTAAATAATATTTTAAGAGTAATGAAATACTACTTCAACCATCAAAGAATTCACCAAACCACAAACAAATAGAAACACAAACAAAAATAATTGGTTAAATTTTCAATTTGTGCGTTTGAAATTGAATGTATAAAATAAATAAATACACAATATATGTACATTAGTAATTTTAAACGAAATACATAATTACATTTTCAAAATAACATAAGTACCTACCCAAAGCTCATATTATAATATTTTTATTTTTAATACTTACATAATATAAAATAAAAAAATTAAGTTTTAGTTTATATACAACTAAAATAACTTTCCATTTTATTTTATATCAAAAACAAATTTAATTATTAAGAACTAAATAATGATTACCTACATTTAAATAGGGATAAAACTTAATTTCCATAACTCTAAGAAAATTACTTTTATTATAATTAATTAAATATATAAATATAGATACCATCTCAACATTTTTAAAATTTTTTTTGCAATATCAAGTTCTCAGTTTCTGCACAATTTTTCAAATGTTCAGTTATAGATACTTATGGTATTGTTACATTTCATAGGTATACTACATAAGTATTTTTGATTATTGTATATTCATCAACAAAATAAATAGTTCTTTAAATAGTAGTACTATACAGTTATGTTGGTTTTAACATCACGACACTCCCACATCTTAATTTGTTTTACTGATTTTTATTTTCCGAGAAATATACATATATTATTCAATACAAAAAAATTACGACTGTAGAACTTTTTGTTTCTTAACTTCATTTTTTTACATTATCTTTACGTTAAGTTTTACATAAAAAAAAAATTCAAGACAAAGTAGAACTACTTTGTTTATTTTTAGATTTAACTATCATTCAAATTTGATGTTTAAAATTGCTCCCCTGAACAATTTAATATTTTTAAATAGTATTTTTTGGTTCTGAGCCCAAGAGATTTACACCGACTCACATAGGTAGTGTAGTTTTGTGTTTTTGTTCGGAAACACTGTAGCCTTCATGCCACACCATTATTATACAGTATAGTTAAGTCTTCATTGTAACCACCAGTAGAAAAATCTAAAAACACCACATGACATAGTCGAAGAACCACGAAAAATGAACCAAGTGTCTTCTGCATCATGTTTAAAAATACAGTTGACAAAAATAAAATAAACCACATTCCCAATGTTTCTATACCAACTAAGAACAACGAGGAAAGAAAATACAAAACATGGTTATTATTTTTTCTTTAGAAATATCCTATTATTTTTCCGGCATAAAAAACATATTATACCTACATAAAATGCAAAAGTATAAAATCTGTGGAAAAAAAAAAACACCTTCTGAATGAATTGATAAAATGTAAGCTCAAAGGTTTTTCCCATTTATTTTATAGAATTGAACAATACTTATCTGATTCATCCGGCAATATTTTATCGTATTTTCTGTGTTCCATACTACAACACATATATTATATTAACTTATGTAAGTATATTATTTAAACAGTATGTTCAGGTAATCTTTTACATAATAGAATATGGACTTAGTTAATCTAAAAATGTATTGTTCAGTGCTCATACTAGTGTAACGTTATAATAAATAAATGTTGTTAGGTGATAAAAAAATAAATTAGGATTCATCGAATAAATTATATATATATAGGTACCATATGAAAAAATCAATTTTGTTGTAACTCAAATTCGAATAACCGTAAACACTTTAAATATTCATATAGACATTTTCTAGTTGTGGTAAAAGATTCCAAATATTTTGGATGGGTATTTATTATTTTGCTAATATTTTAATTTTTCAATCTATTTGTTTTTTTTTTTTTTATAAATTATGATGAAAAATCTTATAAGTTTAAGGGAGGTTTTTTCAAGGGGAATCATACATTTTTGTCTTTATCACCATTAAAAAAACACTGAAAATGTAAATTATTCTTGTAGACCCTTTAAGTACAAATTGCCAAATTGGAGGAAAATTGGATATTCAAACTAAAAATAACGGTTTTAGTTATTAAATGGTGTACATAATTCGAAAAATATTATTACCTAGTAGAGATTTGTAACATTTTTTTATTGAGTGCAATATTATTATCAACTATAAATAATGATATTTTTAAAAGATTTCGGCTGATTTTATGCGATATAATAGAGGTGCCACGAACTTATTCACATGTCATACAATTAAACTATTATACAATTTATAAATTTACTATTGCAACTGTATATGGTACATGGACACCAATGTCAACTTAATAGTTATAAGTTAATAAAGTTAAAATGAAATCTTACGTAACTTGATTTTACAGATCAATGGCCATTATATGGTACTCAGTCCCGGCTTAAAGGTTACATTATTTTGGGCTAAAATAAGTGTAACCTACCGTATCAATGGCACGTAACAAACAGAAAAATAGAAAATATCTTTAGAAATACAATATTATTATACCATTATTGCTCAGATTGATTTGTTGTGTGCAATAGTTTATTATTGAATTCAAATTGAACACATCTACTACAGTGACCTACTCGATGTACACTCGTCACCTACTGTAAGAATAATCAGTTTCCCAGTTTGTATAGGTACTCTATTTCATTTGTCAATGAGCATAAAAACACATTACTGATTAATATAATATTTAATATTATTATTATACGATATTATAATGTTGTATATATTATTTGGATATTTTTATTATAAGTTATGACCACGTGTTCAAAACATAATTTAGATGAATTAAAAATTAAAATTATTAATGAATAAAATATCTTACTTTTGAATAAAGCTCTTGTTAAGATATCTCAGTAGATACTTCCGTGGATTTGTGTATCGTATATCTTTCTTGGGGGGTACCACTGTTATCGGTTAGTGATGGATATTACTTTTAGAACTTTTGGGTTTGAGTGTGTAGTTGCGAAAACCATAACACATGACTCATATAATGTAAACAGTAGTGTGAGATTTCGAGGTCATTTTTATCGTGTGCATTAGACCATTAACCATTAACCAAAAAATTGTACAAAAGAACTATGATTGGCTATATTATACCTATCTGTTTTATAGAAAAACAAAACTGTAAAATACAAATAGTACCTACCTAATGTAATATACCGTACTTGTAATTTCATTAAAATCAATTTTATTACTTAATAGATCCTAAAACCATAGAATTTAATGTTTGAAACTGCTAACAGTAAGCAGTAGCATACACAATAACCATTAAAACCATCCTGTGGGGCTGTGGATCAATAATACTATATAACCAATGCATTTGTCGTGTTAATATAGCGATAAAACGATATAAATCATTATAATTAAATATAGTGTTTCAAAAAACAACATAAATCACCGCAATCGGTATTCTTAATGGTCCTTGAAAACTTACTACTACTCAGAACAAATATTGTCAATAACTAACGAACTAACCGGTTAATCTGTATAGACCTGCACTAGTGAACTTTAATCGATGGTACGCGATCAGACGTACAAATTGAAGCGATCGTCAGACGGAAGCAAATTTCCGAAAGATAATAATTTTAGAGAAACGATAGTTATCAATTATTTCGACAGTACTTGGGTCGGTGTGTACCTGCAGGATCAGTGATGAAATGCTAATATTTTGTTCTCCGGTTATTTTAAAGCACTACCCAGGGGACCCATTTGCAGGGATACCGCCCCACCATTAAACGGTTTGGCAATATTCCCGAAGGCTCGGCCATAATAATTGCAATTCTGATGGAACCACCGTGATAGTTTATTGGCCCCGTAGCAGTTTATTACGTGCAGAGCTGTTTTTAACCAGTACCAATGAAAATATAACAGTTATCAGAAAGAAAAAAAACCATTTTCTATCCACAGCACTTTATTTATCACGGAGCGATGATGATATTCTTCGTTCAATCACCGATTCCGAGAAATAGAGTATTTCGTGTTGTAAAAATGATTTGTGTCAACCACGGAAGTAACGTACTTACTACTTACCTACACGACTATTCCAACCGATCGAGATTTATTGAAGGGTACAATTTTAAACCCGGTGTAACAAATAAACACATTTTAAATTTGTCATTATAATCGAAATGGGAAATGCTACAGCGATAGACAGTCATTAAAAATCAGTATAGTACCTATTATATTATTGGCCACACAGTTACCTATGAATAATATAGAAGAATATTTTTGTGCTACGAAAGAACTCTTATACTTTAGGCATAGTTTTGTACTAAAAATTATTATTAATTTATAAAGAATTATTTGTTTTGAATCAAGGAAAATAAATGATGGTACTTAATAGTAATATCATTAAGCATACACATTGTTTAATATTTATGAACTCATTTTTCTTGTCTAATGATTTCTTATGATCTTATGCTTGTATAAGTTTTTGTGTATAAATAATTGTATAAATACATATTTAAATTAATATACATTATGCACTTCAACAATAAGTATACCTCTAAAGAATAATAAATTCCTTTTAATGAAAAAAAGTAATAACAAATATTTAAATTTAAATTTTAGACAAAACTTTTTTTAATTTCAAACCGTTTAAATCATCAACAAAATTATTAAAAATTCGATATTAAAATAATAACATTAATTAGAATAAATTATTAAAACAGTAATTGTGTTATATGTTAATGTACTATCTTCATTTGGTGATAGCGATTTATATTGGTTATATTTCACTTCACCATCTGCTGTTTGTTAATTAATAAATATTATTTTACTTTTTTTGTGGAATATATTATTTTTTATGTTCCTGTAACTTCAATATAAAATATGATAGAAGCTTACAAACATATTATAATTCTAAACTTGTTCACGTAAATATAATTTATTTATTTTATAGAATTTTTAAATATTTAATTTTTTTTTAGTAGATGTCTTATTTATGAATAATACATTTAAAGAGGTAGTCTTAATTTTACTAAAACAAATCATTTGTAAATGCACCACTTATTAGTTAATTGAACTATTAAATGTTAACCATGCTATTTTTTTAACTATTATATTTATACAAGTAATTTGTTACAAAAAAAGGTTAAAAATACATATTATCTAATTAAAAATTGAATCAAAAATAAGTATCAGTGAAGATGGAACTTTTGTTTCGGAAATATTACACAGCTTTATTCGAAATACGTCTCATTTTCGTTTGGTAAATGTATTAACTATAAAATTGTGATTTTCATTGATACATTTTTGTGTGAAGGTACATTGATGTTTCTTCATTAAAAACCTTTATTTAAGGTACCTACTTGGATACAATATCTAAGCGACAATATGAAATCAAATTTTATTTATGGCGTATTTTAATGTAAACAATAAAGTATAATATAATAGGTGTTATATGTACTATTTTAGCTATTTAGTACCTATATGTTATTGTTGTATATGTTTGGTCTATAAATTAAATAGATTAAATTATTGGTTTACAACATGTATCAGATAATCCAAAAATACTAGTAATTAAATTCAACCCACACTTTAAAACAAAGGAAATTGGATCGTAATCGCAATTTGGTTCACCAATATTACCATAGTCTTCCGTAGTAGTCTCAAGCTGTTCTACTTCTGGCGATTGAGTCGTTACCTCGTATTTTGTAGCTTCTGTATTTGTGTTTTTTGGTCCATTTGAAGGCATGGTAGGTGGTTGAGGTATTGATGGCACGGAAGGCATTGTAGGTAGCTGCGGTACTGAAGGTGTGGGCAAAGAAGGCATTGATGGCATAGAAGGCATTGATGGCATAGAAGGCATTGATGGCATAGAAGGCATTGATGGCATAGAAGGCATTGATGGCATAGAAGGCATTGGTGGCATAGAAGGCATTGACGGCAAAGAGGGCATTGATGGTATTGAGGGCAATGGAAGAGTGGTTCTAGTCTCGTCATCATTAGATGGAGGGCGATAAGTTCCTTCAGGGGGTTGTTCTTCAGCCAGTTCAATTGATCTTTTTACTTTGTTCGTGGGATCTTCATTTGATATCCCTGGTTCCAATTCATTATAATAATCGTAATCTGTTGGTCCTTCATTTTGTATTTCAATGGCCATACTATTCGTTTCCCTATCGTTTATTTTGCTCACATATTCGTAATAATATGACCATAGAATATAAGAATATCTATTAAAATATGCAATGACTGAAGAATTGTCTATGATTTTACGTTCAAAACAAATCCAATCATTTGGTGAGCATTTCGGAAAATCTGTAAATAAATCGTTTTTATTATTAAAAAATTACTTTTTATGGTTAATAATAAAATAATACACAAAAATGTTTAAATAATTGTATCGGCCTTTTATTTTGTTAGGTTGTAAATGACATACTTTTATACTATTTCATTGAAATAATAATTGACAGTGGTAAAATTTTCCAGACAAATTACTTTTATTTCTATTATTATAATTAAGTGACTTATACAAGAGTTACAGTTGAATGATGCGCAAAAAGTAATTTAGATAATAGGATCAAACGGTGGACGACAAAACTGGTTAAAAATATCGTAAATAACAAACACAAATGTCTCCTTGGAGTAATATTAAAATGTGAATGCTTTTAAAATTATATATAGTCACTGGAGCTATCAGTACTTACCTACGCTTAAACTTTGTTTGGGTCTTCCGATTACTTTGGAATAAGTAAACTTCGACATTTGACATACCTGTAATACACAAATTACAATAAACTTTAATTTTGCTCATTTTTGTTTTTATAGCATTAGAAATGGAATCAACTTTAGCAAAGTAGTTTTCCTCCATTTTAAATTAAGCTATTAATGAATTGTTGGTGAATTGTGTACGGCAATATAAGACGAAATAATCTAATGGAAAAGCTAATCAGATGAAATTTATAAAATTATAGTTAAAATGAAACATACATACTTAATACGTACTTAATTTGACATATATTATAAACATAGTATTAAAAATATTTATAATCTAAAATAAATGTAATTAATTAATTAAACATCTTAAATTATGATTGTTTGCATACATTGTTTAACAAACATATTATGTGATAAATAGTGTAAATTATAGTATTATGATTTATGGGGTGTGGTTAACCAAGCATGCTCACCCTCTCTTTTTTCTTCAATAATGCAGTTATTCAAAATCTGATTCTTGAAATTTTTAACTTTAGATACTTAATGGTTTTTTCAAATTTTTGAGGTTTGTTGTACTTTATCTTAAGGAGTGTCATTTGGAGATACAAACTTTTATTTTTAAAATAAAAGCCACCCTATTCGACTGCAAATTATTTAAATAATATTTTTTTTGAATATCTTTATGTGTCATAATAAAAATTCAAACTAGTAGTTTTTGAGTTATTCAACTTTGTGTACTAGGAAATAGGTACATGATAATTGATTTAATTATGTATTAATGTATGAGTATTAATAATTTATAAACATTGTCCAAGTATTATAAATAATATATCCAATATTATTCTGTTCTAATTATATATTTTTTGTAAAACCATTTTTAAGAACTATTATCTTTGAACATATCAATAACTGAGAAACTACTCATTTGAAATTTGAAATAGGTACATTCAAATGTTCAAAAAAATTATCCACTAAAAAATGTATCGAAAATAGGGGGATTTTCATTTTAATAATGAACGTTTGTATCACCACAGGGCGGATGTGCATGCTTGGTGAATGGCCCTCTAATATTATATGATAAAAATTAGTAGTACCTACCTAAAAATACATGAAATAAATAATCATATTTATATTTTATAATAACTTTAAGTAGTGTATAGGACGTAGATACGAATATCAATTAGTCGGTTGTATTTAATTTATTTATTTATCATGAGGGTAAATGTACTGAAAGCGACTGTGAATGTAAACGATTTTGATAATCTATAAACGTATTGTAAATTGTGGGAAACGACAACCAGGATTTTCTGAGAAAACTCTCGACGTATAATTGAGAATTTAAAGGACTCGCCAATCATGTGTCTCGTGGGAATTCATGACGAATTACGGATGTTATATGTGTTTGAACAACGATTTGGAGAGCAATCGAAACGACGTAGCAGAATCGACAAAATGACGTTACTATATGGTCGGCAATTTAAAAATGCTTGTAGATAGCTACAATTAAAATCTAATGTCTTATAAAATTGACACAAACACACATTTTTACTCGGAAAACGGAAAAACACAAACGTCGGCTTATATTTGTTGGCGAAAATTGTGTAACAAGAAAGTGTTATGGGCCTCATTAGATGTTTTTATGAAAACGATTTTATAACACGAGCGAAATTTACTGACAGTCTATAAAAAGAAACTTAAAACTTTTAATTAAATATGAATTGATGGCAGCTTATAGATTAGTAGATATCGACAAAAATATTATACAAATATAGTTTGTAATTTATGAATATAGTTGTAACGATTTTACATAGGTACTATTAAAGTTTAACACAATTACTAAATTAAAGTATTACGCATTAAGTATTGCATTCATGATTTTGCACTTTGCAATAATAAATGTATCATACAAGCATTAGAGGTTTGGGACTCAACCTACAACTCGCTAACTGATAAATACACAACTAGTACTGTAGAATTAAAACAAATTTATTCTAGTACAGTTGTTTTTACTTTTTGAATTCATGTACTACATAAGTTGCAGCTACATATTATTTTTAGAAAAAATATCAAATATATAAGCTTAAAAAATATTATTTAGTTAAAATCATTTAAATTAAGATTGATAATGTGCATTTTTAAAAATAAATATTTATGTATCATATCATATTAAATCAATTTGCTACAAACTATGACCATATACTTAAATAAATAATATAAATTGTATCGCTCCATTCAAAATCTAATATATATATATAACAAACAATTCACATAGTATTATAATTTTAAAACTGGTTTAATGATATTATAGGTTTTCTAATAGATAATAATATAAAATATTATAAATGGGGAAAAACTGTGTGTTTTCGTAAACTATTCTAAAGAAAAGTGACCCGTATATTCCTATAGGTACACTAAAAATGAAAATATTCTCTTAATTAAGTACCTAACCATTAAAAATAATTGTATTTGTGAAATACTACTGAAACCTTTATAGATGTCTGAGCACGTCATAATGGTAATAATAAATATTTTCTGGTAAAGAGGACTTTATTTAAATTTATTATTATTAATATTGTTTCATACAGAAACTAAACGACAACGATGATACTTGAAAATGATACTTACATAAAGGAAAACACAAATATATTGTATTACGATCATGGTATTTTGTGAAGTGCACCATACACAAGAATGAATAATGTGCTTTTGACTGCAAATCATAAAATTTAGATAAACCACATAATATTATACTGACTTTGAGCTTCCTGTTTTTCTCTCTGATAACTATAATATTCAAGAGTATTTATGTGTGCTTGCGTAGTTGCGTGTACCTATTATTCGTGTGTGTGTGTGTGTGTTTCTTTGTGTTATTATAATTTCGTATTCAGGATTCAAAATTTGTTTCCTCTATTCAATGTGTATCGCCATTATTCTAGGACGATTTACAAACAGATTAAAAATGTATCAAAATTGCATGTATAATAATAATAATAATACAAATACAAATAACAATGTGATTATATTACAGTAAATCGGTGAAAAAAAAAAACGTCTTTGATGACCTTCCGATTGTGTTATGCGTGATATTCATAATTTACTGCAATAGCATATTATTACACTTTATGATTTAATATCGTAATTTATAAAATACAATACTATAGTCAAATGTAGGTAGGTACTTAACTAAACCTTTTGGAAATAATACGTATCTACTATAGCTTTTATGTATTAAACATTTTTATCAATTAAGAAATGACTAATGACTATAATACTTATAGAATAAAATATGTTTGAAAAAAATAGTTATTATTTTTCTTGAAATGATTTATATTGTTTTTATTAGGTACCTAGTTAGCGTACCTAATAACATAAACTCGTATTCTCCTTTTAAAAATAGAAGTTATATTTTTAGGTAATGACCTAGTATGTTTAATATAGTAATGACATTGTGAATTATGATATTGTTTATTTTGTTTCAAACGTTTACTTCAGCATCGAAAGAATTTGAAATGGCCATTAAATTCTTATACTTATATGAGTTCAAAACTATGTATTATAACATTTATTCAAAACGTAATCCAGCACAAAGTAGAAATACGAAAAAAATTACAATTCTAATAGGTACGCAAACTATATATGCATTAACATAAAATATTTATAGTAAAAACGTTCGTTATTAAAATATATCGGTACTGAATTTAACATTTCGTTCTCTTTAAACATTAAAGTTTTAATATTTTTGTTTGGAAAAAAAATTGTGTTTCTTTTTTTTAAAACTTTTTTCCTGAATTTCCAAAAGATATTCAAGAAATTTTGACAAAACGTTTGCTCGTAAATTGTACGCATCATGACGTACTCGATGTCGAAAAGTAAAGAGCAGGGGAGACGAATGGAACCCGTATATGTATACGAATGTGTGTGTAATGTGTATAATGACTGATGAAGGACGTCTGACACGAGACGGGTATTGTGACTGATAAGAAGCAATAAAACGCGGCACCATATGATAAATGCATATTTAAAACGTAGTAACTTGGCTCCGGAGGATATGCATCAATCAGGATAAAAACCGTGGCACGCAAACCAACAAATCCTTTCTCCACTCGTTACACACCCCGCAAGAGCATAAAAATATGATATTAAACGCACACGCCTGCGGTGTTCAATATTTGTATTATGTTCATTTTCTTTTTGCTTCATAATATCGTAGGTGCCATGAAGGATTCCATCGAAAAATTTCAGTGGTAAAAAATATGTCCACTGGGGGTAACAGTTATAAATTGAACTTAGTAGAAGTCGATACGTATGAATAAGAATTCAGGTATGTATGAAAATTTCTCCAATCGTACGGTTTAAGAGTCACGTCGAACTGTATCCAATACACTTTAGTTAACAGCCAACTAGGGGAGCAGAATCAAAGATATTCAAAATTGGGTTTCTTTAAATTATATACTGTTATGTATGTTTTAGGTTAAACATTTTATAGTTTTCACACTTGGTTTTAGACATTTTTTTTACGCCTATCCGTTTTGGGGACAATTTTTTCCTCAGTATTTTTAGTAGATTAACGTCTGGGTATGAGGTATTCGAGTTCAGACAGATTCATAATAATGTATGTGCTACTTATATAAACGTGAGTAAATACAAAGAGCACATAAAAAAATATCTAAACAATACGGTACACACTACACAGTTAACTTGTTTTATTTTCGGCAATATAATAAAACCAATAGAATATTGTTTATCGGGTTATCTGGAGTAAACAAAACCTTATAGTAAGTACAGCTAAACTTGATCGCTAAAAACACTGAAAGTTTAAATTGATTGAATGTACATTTCAGCACACTCATATAATAAAAAAAATATTGCCGAGATAAAAATATATATTTACATACAACAATTCAGTTAAGTAACTGAAATATTTTTAAACATTATTATTATTTTTTGTTTTTATGAATAATAAACATCCAGATACAGGTTGGCAACATAATGCACAAACCAAACTATATTATGGAATTGTGTTAAAATGATGCCATACCAATGTACCATACAGTTAATGATAATTTATTATAAAACATTGGGAATCGTACTATAAGAAATTGTAAAATATATTTATAAATTATATTAAATTAATCTACATGCATATGTAATAATATTTTATTCATATTTCATACTACAATAATATTCGGAAACAAAACCATATGTCTCTAACTTTAAAAGACTCAGGGCAGGATAACATCATTATACAACACCTAGTAAAAAATGTGTGATTTTTCTATCGAGTTAAATATATGCTAATAGTTTTCTTAGTTACTACTATATTTGATGGTGTATTGTATTTTTTGTTGTATATTATTATATTAAATTCTAAAACAATCTTAAACTAAATGAAATTATTATATGTAAAATATAAATTATTTTCCTTTAAATTTTTTTTTTTTATTAAAAATAAGCAATATTGACAATCTGGAAAAAAAATGTTTCATACAATAATTAAATTATTTGTAATGACACATTTTGCATGTTATACAATAAAAAAAAAATTCATGAATGTATAGATGAGGAAGGAGGCCACCAGTGTGGGAACCTACAAGACGAATATCTCATTTTTATTTTAATATACATTTTTATATATAATATCAATGTCTTTTTAAACGACGCGTTTTACTTTAAAATGTAATATTCAATTTATATTAATAAAAAAATAATAATTGTACATGTATTAATAAAATATTCAGAAGATAACTTCTTGGTTATTATTGTTATAATATATGTATAACTCAAACATAAAAAAGATTTATTATCGTGCATCATTAAAAATAACCAAGACATAAAACAATACATGTTTGTTAACTGTCTACTCCAATACCTATCAAATATGAATGATGAGTACCCACTGTTATTATAAATTTTGTTTTTCCTGAACATGTTAAAAAAGTCTCACTTTTCTAAACAATGCGTTATAGTTGTTCTGAATTCTCACGGATCACAACAGAGCGTACAGACTGTGTGACTACTGAAAATAATAATTGGAACAATGGTTTTTATTTTCAGTTGATATCATTACAATAGTTTTTAATTTTAGCTCAAACTATATATTACTGATTTTGCACACCTGACAAATGTCAACCTAAACACGGTTCGAACCATCTTATTTATCCCTTGTTATATTTGGCAAGTTTACTTAAATAATCATAAATATTAAATAAAAATAAAAACGGTATGGTAACGATGACAGGAAAATGTAACATTATTGTGTATAGACAAATGCTAAAATGTAGGCTCGAAAAAAAAAGGTTTTCAATATATCGACAAGCAAAATTATAATGCTATCGTATAAAAAAAAAAGTAAATATCCAATAAATTTGATTAGGCGTTGAGCGTCAAAATATGAACAAATAGTTCAATTACTTAGATATTTTTATAAACGAAGCAGCAACTAATTTATGCTGATTAAATTCCTTTTTAAGAAGCATTTTTAAAAGTCTAAATAAATAAGCTGACAAGTAAAAATATTTAATGCTTGAGTATTTTTTTTTTTTTAGTAGTATTAGTATTTACACAACGACGCTCAGTTTTCGCGTTTGATAAAAGGTACAATTATTATTAGAAAAAAAAAAATAATAATAAATAAAAGTACAAAAAGTAGGTAGGTACTGTAAAGTTTGAAAGACACGTCAAATAAGAGAAATACTCAATACAAGTGTTTCACACAGACGATTATTACGCAAACAGAAGAAATAAATAAATAAACACATTTGAACACAATCAGTTGTGAAACTAACCAATAGTGAATAATTTTGTTTGTATATTTTGTTATTGTTTTTGATGTTGTTCTCGGCTTTTTTTTTTCTTAACCCGACCGACCTACGACTAAATAAAACCAAATGCATTTATGTATATTGTACATGTGTATGTAAGGGTACTTTTATCCTATAGCCTTCACTCTCTCTCACCCCCCCCCCTTCTACCACGGGTTTGCGGGAAATCAAAAATTGCTATCGAATCAGACCGGATGATTTATTTTCACTGCGGGAACCGGGTGTCACAGCGACACCGTGTGTTTCTCGTCGATAACTCGCAAAATGCACAAAACTTGTCACGCCTCGCTGACGACTGATCTCTTGTGTATACATTTACGTACGTGCATATACGAGAAACGAGCCGTGGGAATTGTGAGAGTATTATTTCCGGATGTCCTAAAAATGTGCCAAATACCTACTATATAATAGTACCTATAACTAGTAGACGAAAATATGTCGTATTCTTGCTGTCACTACGATACCAATTTATTGGCTGGTACGAAACCCAAGACTTTGTGACTTAATGCAGTGCTTTTACTATTTATTGTTTCTTTGAGACACATTTTAAACGGATCTGAATTTATACCAACGAGTAACGAGTACTAACTTGTCTAATATAAAAACGGTAAAAGGTAACCTAATTATAATGATCATTATTGTTAAATTGTTTAAACATCATACTATTAATTTATAACGTAACGGTATTATTGTATTTATTAATTAAAAATTTGTTCTTACAGGTTATAAAATGACCGTAGTCAAGAAAAAATATGTTTTCGTTTTTTTTTGTAGTTTGGATGTTAAAACTAACATTAAAATATTGACCATTTTATTTGTTTTTATCTTAAGTATATTCGAGCTATACATGATTTGAATAATGGCTATCGGTTATTTGGCTTTGCTTCGGGTTCGTTTTTTTTTTTTTTAAAGAAAGAAAGAGTTCTTATAATCG